TACACTTCTGTTGCCAGCTTACACATTGCCCATTTAACATAAGCTACTGATTTAGCTTTGTGCTTGATATGGAGCTGACTGAAATGAGAACCACAGAAAAGGAAGAGCATAAATAAATACATGTTGTTGGAGCACTCTGTTTTGCTGTCTTGAGTTGACTTAGTTATTTTATGTTTGTAGCCTCTATGTACAGTGCTGCTGTTCTCAGGAATACAATGTTTGTTTTCCTGGTCTCAACTAACAATTAGGTAGCATTAAGGGAAAAAAAAAATTTAAAAATCAGAAAGAGAATCTACTCTTAGTTAAAAGCCAGGCAGCAGTTATCAGCTTAGAGAGCAAAATCAAAGATGTTTCTGTGTGAAGGTTGTATCTAATTGTACAGTATGATGGGAATTTTTGCCCCCTCCTCTAAAATACCTGCTGTACTTAAGCAGAAAGAGACTATTAGAACCAGTGTGTTAATTTTTTTTTTTCTCCCCTGTGTATATTATTCTGTTTTTCACCAGGAATTTTGGAAGCAGCAATTTTGCTGCCTTGTATATGTTCACTTATAGAAGGAATTCATGCAAATGTAAGCATCTCAATTAAAAAAAAATGATCAGCCATGCCAGAGTCAGCAAAAGAAAGTGAAATTTGGCAAATTTCTTTTGGATCTGTAGCAGAGAGTAACAGTTGTATGACATTAGAAGGAGAAAAAGGTTTGTACTTGGATTATTAAACAAAATCCAGTAGGCCCATGTCTGCGGTTTTCTTATTTGTCTTAAAATTTCCAGGACAGCTTTGTGTAGGTGTGTGTCAGAATTTGGAAGTTCGTGACTGCTTGCAAATAAATGTACCTAATAATAGATAATCTTGGTTCCCCGTATATATACGAATGAGAAAAAATTGTCTGCTTGGTTCCAGCTACTGTCAGTGAGCATACAATGCTCTTAGAAGGAACAGCTAATCGTCCTCCACCTGCTGGTGGCTCTTCTGGGCCTGTGACTGGTGCTGAGATCATGAGGAAATTATCCAAGACTCACACTCACAGTGATTCTGTTCTGAAAATAAAGGTAAGTTTCTAGTGCCATGCACGAGGGGGAAGTGGTTTGTAGCTGGCCTGTTCAGAAGCAATTCTGTAAGCTGCAGATGAATAAATACTTGTCTAGAAAGTAGCTATAACTAACTGTAACGCGTGGAAAGTACGCACCCTACCTTATAAAAGTGGTGCTCCATCAGTTGGCCTATATTCTACATCTCTTCTTCATTGTTTTTCTTGACATTTTTTTCCTAAGCCAGGCTTAAAACCAACCTATATGTGTATAATTTAAGGATATGCATAAAGTTTTATGGCTTTCCATCTATTTATGGAAGCAGAAATGAGAATTTAACTATGATTTTTCAAAATCCAAGATTGAAAAAGCTCTCCAATAACTTGTAGTAAAAGCAGTGTGTTGTTTGGGTTTTTTATTCCACAAGCTGTTCAGAAAACTGCAAGATTTTACTCTTATCTCTACTTTCTAAACAGAAATAGTCTGTGAATGTTTGTGGGGTTTGGGGGGTGGGGTTTTTGTTTTGTTTTGTTTTTTAAGACATTTGTTGTCTTCTATATGCATGTTAGGCAGCTTGGTGGCTTATATTCCTTTTCAGCTGTGTTTTTTCACAGAATGATTGAGATTGAAAGGGACCTCTCTAGGTCATCTTGTCCAACCCTGCTGCTCAAGAGCCACTTGCCCAGGGATATGTCCAGATGGCTTTTGAATATCTCCAAGGATGGAGACTCCATAACCTGTGACAGTGTTCAGTCACTCTCACAGTAAAAAAAAGTGTTTCCTGATGTTCAGGAGGAAACTCCTGTGTCTCAGTTTGTGCCCACTGCCTCTTGTCCTGTCACTGGGCACCGCTGAGAAGGGGCTGGCTCCGTTGTCTTTGCATCCTCCCTTCAGGTGTTTACATACATTAATAAGACCCTCCCTGAACCTTTTCTTCCCTAGGCTGAACAATTCAAGCTCTCTCAACCTTTCCTCACATGACATGCTCAAGTCCATTAATAATCTTAGTGGCCCTTTGTGGGACTCTCTCCAGTATTTTTCTCTTGTACTGGGGAGCCCGTAACTGGACACAATATTCCAGGTGTGACCTTACGAATGCTGAGCAGGGGGTTAGGATCCCCTGCCTTGACTTGCTGGCAACTTATTGCCTAATGCAGCCCAGGCTGGACAGCCCAGCAAGGGTACATTGCTGCCTCACGTTCAGCTTAGTGTCCACTAGGACCCCCAGGTGATTTTCTGCAAAGCTGTTTTCCAGCAGGCCAGACCCTAGCATGTACTGGTGCATTCGTCCCCCCTAGCACCTTTAGGCGCAGTGCCTCTATGGCGTGTAACCTGCCCCAGATGAAGTGCTCCTTGTCCAAAAGTTTGCAGGAATGACAATTTTGTAGTTACTGTGTTCCCATCTAATTTTCAGACCAGATGTTGCTGCCTTTTGCAGTTTACATGGTACTTCATTAGTTTCTTTGTTTTCTCCGCAAGGGTATACATCCATATCATTCCTTAAGTTACACGAGTGGAGATACAGCTACAGATTCACCAGTGCACGTTGGCCGTTCTGGAATGGCAGTCAAAGAAAGTCCAAGGAAAGAGAGTCTGCTCAGCTATCTTACTGGGAGTTTTCCCAGCCTGCATAATCTTTTGGAAGGGACTCCTCAAAGAAGTACAACTGCAGTTAAAAGTAGTTCCTTAACAAGAACAGGTATGACGTGGCATAAGTAAGCTAAAGGGAGGGGAAGGGAGGACTGATTTTATTTTCATGATTTAGAAAAGGTACTGGATTTTCACTATTGAGTTATTTCTGTTCAAGATCCCACTTCCCCTCTCCCTCCCCATTAGGTAAGAATCATAGTTTTTAGTAGCAGTTCCTAGACATCACCATACCATTTCCTAAAAGCAAACAGCGAGTACATAAGGTTGGAAAAGAAATGACAACTTACTTAATAAATATTTTCCTTGTACTTAGTCTTGCTACTTTTTGAGTGTAATACATAATTACTTGAGTGGGTCCTTTTGAATGAATAAGGAAATGAAGTGATCATTCTGTACTTGTAATTTTTTTCTTGATATTGTAGTTTTAGTCCACTTTTTGAGCTACTTAATGTTCTATAAAATTAGTTTGTGTATGATAGTTTGCAGATTTTTAGTAATGATCTTTTGAATAAATGTGTTTTGTAGAAGTTTGAAATACATACCTTGAAATGTTATGTTCTGCATGATTGTTCAGAGTGCATGATTACAATTTATATAAAGAAAACCAGATAAGTGTGGTAGTGCGTTTTCTCTAAAACCTCTCTCCTTTGCTGTCAGGGAACGAAATATTATTCAGAAAAAAAGGTATTTTGGTTTCTTAATGACTCCTTTCCTCTAATTAATGGTAGAAATGAGCAAATGCAAAGATACTCGTAGTGCAACATCCCTTAGTGTCATAGTGTAGCTTCTGTGGTAGCACCTGTAGTGTTGCTCGACACATAATTTACTGGAATAAACCTTGAGGATTAGGTTTACTTTTTTAGTAAATAGGTATTGTTGGTAAAATTGTGCTGTGTTCCTGGTTTTTGCTGAATTTGATGCAACAAATGCTAAAGCTTCTGAATTATCTGTATAGGAAATACTGTGGCCACAGACATGTTATCTGAGCATCCTTTGCTGTCTGAACCATCTTCTGTGAGTTTCTATAACTGGATGTCAAATGCTGTGGGCAACAGAGGAAGTGTAGTGCAAGAAAGTCCGGCCACCAAATCTGGACACAATAGTCTTCCAACAGGTATTGCTACTTACAGCTGAATTGGAGAGGTGACACTGGGGTGGCTGTTCCTGCACTTACCATGTTCTTTTGAAAGCATTTGAGCAAGTGGCTTACGTTCGACAGACGTGAATACTACTTGTGGGACTTCTCAGCAAACAGAAAATGAACAAATATACTTTAAGCAAAACTGTTGTTTTAATTTCCCTCACCCTGCCTTCAAAAATTTAGCTTTTTCTTACAATTGGAACTGTAAATGTACCTTCCAAAACCGTGTGTAGCTGCCAAGAGCTAAGCCGTAAAATCATCCTCGGTTGCAGAGTTCCTTGGATTTAGATAGATTTTTAGTCTAATTTGCATATGCTGGTTTTGTAATAAGGATTTTGTACATTGGAATCCTTGATGTTAGTTCAGTTTTGAGACTGAGCATAAACATGTGTTTTGAGAGAAACTTTCTTCAGGGATGGGAAGTGATCAGCTAATGTGAGGGAATGGAGAAAAGAAAATATACATTACTGAAAGTCTTAAGTGTATTTAAGAAACAGATATGTAAGCCTGCCATCATTCATAATCCTCAAATGTGAATATCTTAATTTTCTTTTTCACTAATGCTAAATTAGAATCTTTCTTCTATTAACAGTTTTTCAACTGTAATGTTAATCTTGGGCAATAGCAAGTTGTTTTAGTTTGTTTTAATATTGAGCAAATAGTCTGATTCTACAAAACAGCTTTGCGCTGTACATACTGCTTCCCTGGTGTGGCTTCTCTGTAAACTGGAATGTGTTTCTCTGCAGAAAGAATCATAGAGTAGAAGTATAGCTTTCAATTTTTTATTTTTTTAAATTTGATTCTTCTATTTATTTTTATTCCTTGCTGCTGAAACTCTTAACAGTTTGTTCACAAGCCTAACGTTCCTGAAATTAAGACTCAGTGATTTTAACTCAGACACAGATCTAGCCAAACCATTTTTCTGTGGAGGCATGTAGTCGTGGCTCTCTAAGTGCTGTAAGCTTGGGTTTTGAAGAATCAAGAATCATTTACATTGGCAGAGCAACGCTGTCTCATGGAGGCTGAGTCCAGTCCAGACTCAGGTTGCAGGCGATTCAGCATTGCTCCGCCCTTGTGCTGCAAGCCTGATGGTTTGTGAACAGAGCAACTGCAGGGAAGTGGCTGTCCATCCTCGTCTTTCTGAAGAGCAGATTTGGCAAGAGACTAATCCATAGAGATCTAATTGGTGGATCTTGCGTTGGGACTACTAAAACCGGGAAGCTTATAGCACATGGAAAGCTAAAAGCAAGTATCTGCAGCTGTGGATAGTCTTTCTTTTTGTTGATGGTATAGGCTGCTCAGCCTGTAAACTATTTCAGTTTAAACAGGAGTGAAGTACCCTATAGAATGCAATGCAGACAAAAGGCCTTGAGAAGGAGGCCAAAAAAGGAGGAGATACTTTTGTGCTTTCCAAACAGGTGTTGGGCTGTCTTTGCTACCTGTTTCAGCAATATCAGGCTATTTCTTTATCCTGAATACCACTTTTGTGAGGTTGTAGACCTGGCTAGGGCTCTGACTTTCTATGTGTATGGCATGTGTTTCTATGTGATTCATCTTGATGAATTAATAGAGTTGGTGATCTTAAAATTTTCTGTGGCGTTAGTGTTCCATGGGTATTTATTTTTTAGGTGTGGCACCCAATCTGCCTACTATACCCTCTGCTTCAGACTTCAACACAGTTCTGTCTAGTGACCAGAACACCCTGGATGGCACACACTCCCAGCACAGCACCAGTCAGGATGACATTGCGGGTGTGGAGGAGGGTAACCAGGGGTTTCCCGCTGTTCAGCTAGCAGATGCACAGGTAGGTGTGGTTTGCTGATGTATTTTGGAGTTCTGCAGGGAAAACTAGTTATTGCTTTTAAAAAAAAAAAAATCTTACAATGATGAAAACGTTACACTGGTTTTGTACATGTTTCTTGGGCATTCCAAGATGAAAGGCTTAAGAAACCTCTGAGGTGTCTTTATGAATGGTGATTAATAGACCATTGTTTTATAGCTTCAAAGAACATATTGGAGCATTTATGAGATTAACCTAGTTCTCCGGAGTACTTTGTACTGAGAGGAACGCACAGAAGCCTTGCTCCCATAGCTAAGCATTCAATAGTCACTTGCTGCATAGTCAATCTTTGTGCTCAAAAAGTCCTCAAAGCTTCTCGTTTTCATCCCCCTTCTTTCTCCTTTGCAGCACTGTCAGTAAAACCTTAAAATGTTCTATATTGTGTGTCTGACACTGTAAATATTGTAGTTCAACAAATGATGGAGTGAGAATATAGGAGTAATCTAGACAATAAGAAGTAAATCGGTGGGGTTTGTTTCGCAGGTTGTTTTCAAACCTCTTCTAAGTTACACGGGAATTCAGTCTCAGGATGCAATGCCACTCTGCTACAGAATGTACTTTGGAGAGTACCTTTCGTTCTCAGGAACTTTGGACTGCCTAAGAGCAGATATTGTTGATTCGGATACAGCAAAGGAAAGAAAAAGCAAGCGAGCTCGAAGGTATGTTGTGAGATATTTGAACATATGTATATTGGGTAAAGATCAGAAATTAGGTTCTTCATGTGAGGACATGGAATTCCGAAGCACTTCCATAGAATAAGGAGCAATCCTTTATTCTTGTAATCTTACCTGTTTTGGCTTCCTGTTCAGAATTTTTTGTTTAAATGTTTCTGTGGCATGGTTTGGAGACTTTAAGTATTTGAGTCTCAACTACTTTTGAAAATTGGAGATTGCGGAAGGGAGAGCTGGTGGGAATAATTATGGAGGAAATTTGAGAGGCTCTTAAATGCTGTTTCATAATTAAACCTGTGAATGAGGTTGTTAGTTTCGGTGTAAATGCTGAATCTTCCCCCCACCAGTTTTGGGCAAAGCTTTAGGTTATGATGGAAAGATTGCATGCCAGACTAGGTTTTACACAGAACTGAATGATTACTATGTCAGTAGCATGCAGTATGAAAGTATAGAAGTTCATTGTTTTTAATATTTAGAACTATAGTAAGAAGGTGATATGCTGAGGGGATTGAAAGTTTGGATTCAGTAAATTAGATGTAACACTGTAAAAATGTATTTGACTCCCTTAAAAAGAAAGTAGTAACTTGTACTTTTTCTTTCCTTAGGCAAGGAGCTGTGAATCTTCCTCCTCTTGAATTCAAGCCAGCTTTGATGTTAGAAACTTTCAGTATTAGTGCTGTCGTGATGGAGAAGTCCATGTGCACACCTCATAACTCCACCAACGCCCTTTCTTTTCATGACTTGAATAAACGCTATTATAATACTTTTCACTGCAATTTCACAATTTCTTGCCAGTCCATAAGCCAGCACGTAGATATGGCGTTGGTTCGTCTCATTCATCAGTTCAGTACAATGATTGATGATATCAAAGCCACGCAGACGGACATCAAGCTTAGCAGATACACGGCTGGATCAGCTTCTCCGACACCTACTTTTAAAACGCGCAAACACAGAGACTTCCGCTCTTCTGATTTCAGCCGCAGCTCTCGAGGAAGTCTTAACGGAGGCAACAGAGTGAACAACACCAAGAACAAACGAACAAACAATGAGAACAATAAAAAAGAGTCTCGAAACAAGAATTCCTTGGGGAGGTCAGAAAGAAGAACTTCTAAAGTATCCAGGAAAGGTTCAAAAGATGTGGTTGACCACATGACTATTCATATGGATGACTCTGACTCTATTACCGTGTCGGAACAGAGCGAACCTTCTGCCGAGTGCTGGCAAAATATGTATAAACTATTGAACTTCTATTCACTCATTTCTGATCCAACTGGCATTTTAGAAAAGTCTTCTGAAACTTTTGGGCCAACAGGTAAACTAGTTCATAAATCCAAATAATTGAGGCGGTGTGCTTTTGCTCAAGTGCAGGTGGAGCACTGGGACAGGCTGCCCAGAGAGGTTGTGGAGTCTCCTTCTCTGGAGACGTTCAAAACCCTCCTGGACGCGGTCCTGTGTGACCTGCTCTGGCAGCGGGGTTGGACTAGATGATCTTTTGAGGTCCCTTCCAACCCCTAACGTTCTGTGATCCTGTGAAGTGTGTTCTTTTAAAGCTTGAGCATAAGTTAGTTTTTGAAAGTTGCCCACCCCTTCTAAGTTGGATCAGAGGGGCAAGTGGCAAGGCTGGGGGGGGAAGCTTGTAATTAGTTCACAGAGATAGTGCACAAGAGAAGAAAATATTCTTTTCCTGCCTTTATGGTATGCTTTGATTCTTTCAATCCTAGACTTAGTCAAATATGTGTTAACTGATTGGTTTTAAATTCGGTCCCTTGATATTCTTGTGCAGCTCTGTCAATCTGGATTTGCACTGGATGTGGGACTGTGTTAAAAGGTTAACTTTTCTGGTTAATTACGTACAGCGAGTGGATTGAGTTTGTTCCTCCCTAGGTGCTGTTTTGTTTTCGAGTGGTTAATGGAAATGCTGTATATTATCATTCTGTGAAAATATGTATGTGCATACATAAGCAATCCTGAGGGAGGTAATTTCTGCCCTGGGAATGACTGAGTAAAAAAATAAACTGAACCTAGCTTTGAGAGAAGAAAAGGTGAAATACTGTTTTTTGTAAAGTCCAGCAAAGACTACAGGTGTTTGGGGATAATTTCACCCAAAGCTTTGAGATTTGGGGTGATCATTGCCCTCTATTTCTAATGTATTTTGGCATAGCAGAGTAAATTTGGGAGTTACTTTAGCATCATTCTTTCTGTGGTGAACTTAAGTTTCTGCAAATATGCAGGGGATGGTATAGTTACTAGTTAGAGATATTTTCTTTAACTAAAGAATGAAACACTGATAAAGTGTCAAATAAGAGCTTCTGCTAAACATAGGGCAATATCTTTCATGTGCAGAATAGCACATCCACAGCTGTGATATCTGCACAAAATGTAAATTTTGTTACATTGTTTTTATGCTCTGGGTGTGCTGAAAAGCAAAACTTGCTCATCCAAAACTAAATTATAAGAACTTTTGGCTGCGAAATGATCAAAAAAGAAACAGGACAATTGGAAACAGTCAGAGCATTTTTATTGTATAATAATAAATCACATAGATATGAATATTTCCGTAACGTACATACGAATATATCTATGAATAATAATGAAATCACATCACTCATTATTTGTTTCCATTGTGTCTTGGCTTTGGTTCAGTTGCAATGTTATTAGAGTGGAATAAACAAGGCACAAATAGTTTGCCTAAAGAGTTCGCTTGATGTGCAAGATACATGATCCCTGGTTTCACGTACAAATACAAATCAGATATGCCAAGGATTTCTTGTAAAGTATCCTTAAGTAACTCCTTTGTGTATTCGTAGGTGTTCGAAGCCCCACCGAACCTGCTTGTAGGGTGGTATTTGAGAACGAGCAGGATAACGGCAGAGACGCGCAGAGGAAGCGCAGCCTGGTGACGTCGGAGCCGCAGCACGTGACCCTCATAGTCTTTGGGATAGGCATGGTCAACCGAACCCACCTGGAGGCAGACATTGGCGGGCTAACGATGGAGTCTGAGCTGAAGAGAATCCATGGCAGTTTCACCCTGAAAGAAAAAATGAAAGGTGGGAGAAGCTAAAATGTGCTCTGTAATTCAAGTCAGTGGCAGCTTTACACGTTTCTGTGTGTCTGCATACCTGTATCAATGCATACATTTGTGCATATGTGATATGTTTTGTTTGTAAATAGATGTACATTATGTCTGTCTGTGGACAGTATAAGAACATTCAGCAAGTTCTCCTAAAAACTATTTCTAGGATGCTGAACGGTTTTAAAAGTATGCGTGGAAATTCTTGTAGAAGATAGTCACTCCATTCATTTTCAAAAGCTTCTTGTCACAATTTAAATTTGATATTACTTAATATGACTACTAAAACTGTAATTTTCCAATCATTTTCCTGCTACTATATTTTTTAAAGCAGTAGGTACCTCTGGAAATATTTTACTGAATGAAATGCTGTTGTCTTTTTTTCTTAAAGATGTACTGCATCAAAAGATGACTGAGACATGTGCCACTGCTCACATAGGAGGTGTCAATATAGTCCTGCTGGAGGGAATTACCCCAAATATCCAGTAAGTATGAAGCCTGACAATTTAAAACTGTTCAAGTGCATAGAACTGCTATCAGTTGTATGACAGTGAAGGTATGTAGCTTAATATGGAGGAAGCATTGCTGATATGTCTTTAAGCAGAACCCGTCAAGTCATAAAGTTTGGTGGCAACCATGCAGCTGCTGCAGAATTGCGCTTGAGTTTGACTTGTAGAGCTGATTGCATGTGCCCGTTGACAGGAGGCTTTTCCCTGCAGGGCCTGAGTAAGCTGAGAAGGAATACAGTGAACATATTAGTAGGTTTCAGTCTAGGACAGTCGCACAAGTCCTAGATGTAGTTACATGAACACGAACACTCTTGCTCCTTTCTCTTTCTAGTAACAGATTTTAGTAAGCTCAGGACTGATTGTAGGATCCCAGTGTAAGCGGGTAAGTGGCCTGGCTGAAAAATCGTAGGTGGCAGGTTCTCTTGTGTTAAAGAAATTAAATTTCATGTAATCAGAGCTTTTTTGCGCTGGTTTTATTCCATGTGGTGTATGCATAGAAATTTTATCCCTTTGTGTGTATTGCTTCTAATTGCCTTCTGAAGGTTATAGATTCCACCAAACCATAGAAGATTTTTAGGGAGCATTTAACCTACTGATGCTGATTATTCCCATTTAAGATCTATATTGTTTCTATAATAGATACCTTTTTAAACGGCCATGATGCGTGATTCTTTGTGTTATTCTTACAGTTCTAATATCCATTCTCCATCCTTTAGATACTTGACACAATTGGGCAGGGGCGGGAGGGAGAATCACTTTTTGCGCATGAGCAGTGCGATGTCTTTCTTAGCATCCACATTGGTTTGTTGTTTTGTTTGTTTTTTTTTTTTTTTTGCCAGGTTCACAAAGTCAAAAAGGGCATGCATTATTTTGCTTTGTTTCTAGATGAACTTCCTTCTGTTTGAGTTGCAAAACAACAGCTGGACTGCAACTCCTTGTAACACAGATCACCCTCACGCAGTTGAGCGTTAGCTGGGTAACCCTCAGTATGTGAGCTGGTTTTAGAATGGTAACGTTGTAGAAAAGGCGCTCAGTAACGTGACTTCAGTCTCTCCTTTTAATTCCTTTTTAGCTTGGAAGATGCTATATAGAACTTATAACATACAGAATTTTGTTGATGTCCCCAGCTAAATTGCTTCTGATAAACATGTCTCAGAGGGACAAGTTCCAATCTGACAGCCGCGTAGGGTTTCTGAAGGCAACTGAGGTTCTTCCTGTCTGTTTTACATCATAATCTTAACTGAGCTTCCATCTAGGGAAGGTACAAAAGGAAAGGGGGGAAATAGTGATAAATCTTTAACAGCAGCAGCAGCCAACCCTAACAAAACCAAAACCTTCAACTTGGTAAATTTGAAAGTAAGTGTCATATTGTGGGTTACGAGTAATTAACTGACTAATTTTGCATGGATGTTTATTCTTTATTTGCTTTGTTTTTGTTTTTTCTTGCTTTCTCTTCAATCTTCATCTGTAGACTGGAGGATTTTCCTACATCTCCTACAAGCACAGCCAAACAAGAGTTTCTGTATGTCATATTATTATGTTTAATAGTCTTGCAATTAACTCTGTGTCGTGTAGCTAATGGCTGCATTCCTACTGTGTGTGATTGTCTAGGCAGATGTTGCTTGAATACATTTTAGTTTAACATCTAATATTGCCCAGATAAGCTTTTAATGTAGCCTGCTAAATATCAGAAAAAGCCCTTGTGAACGTTAACAGGTCTAGCATTAGGGGCAGGTATTACGCTGTACGGTCACCACTGTAATGCTGGAATGGTTTCATTGGCTGTTAGGGTTTTTAGATCTGCTTTTATGCTTATTTTAACGAGGTGAAATAATGCTGGTAAGTATAAAGGAACAGACAGGTTGGATTTGCTTTGAACTTGGTAAGGAACTGCTATGCTTGGAGCGATAGTACCTGTTGTGATTTCAGCATGAATAGGACCATTCCTTTTGTCTCCGTTTACCTCCCTGCTGGGTTTAATTACTAGGCATGCTGACCAGGTGATGCAAACACAAAACGTTTTCCTTAAAACTTTTTTCCTTCCCTGCCCCTCCCCAAGCAGTATTCTGAGCATGGGTTTCTTTTGCTGCTTTAGACCACCAGTGCTTATCTTTTAGAAGGACTTAGTACAACTGCTGTTTGTTACAGCATTTGTGTATATTCAGTGTTGGAATAATACAGGATTAACTTTAAAATATCCTTAGAGATGGCTCTGGAAGGAGAGGTGATGGACTGTAAAACTGCAAGTGATGTAAAGAAAATATTCAGGTTTTTGTTCCTTTTTGTCTGGTAGCAACATTAAACCAGCAAAAGAAAGTACTTTTTTTTCATAGTGCATCACTGAACAGTTGAATTCATTGCCGTGTGATGTGGTCAATAAAAGGATTGGACAAATCCATGTAGGGTAGGGCTGGTGGTGAGTCATGAACACAGTACAGCCTCTGGCTCAAAAAGTAAACCCCTGATGGCTGGAATTAAGGGAAGAATCACTTTATTTTCTTTATTTTCCCTCCAAGTATCTGCTACTGCCCGAATTTTCATCTGACTTAGGGTGGTAGTTCCTGTGTGTGTAACAGGCCTTCTGTTGATGTTTTCCCCCTGCTTTTCTAACATGCCCCAAAATCTGTTCAGTTGAGTGGTGGCCTTATAGCTGGTTCTGAAGGGCGACAAAGAGGTTTTTTTACAAGTTTGCCTGGAGAGTGATTATTTATGGAATTGATGTGAGAACATAGAATTACTTCTTGAATGCATTACTAGTATATAACTTAAATATCAATTAATGATATGTTGTAGGCATATCACCATAGGTAAGCAAGCTGCAGATATATAATGTGCAGTGCTCATTCTAAGTAAGTGTGTGGTCACGTGGCTGCTCCGCCTTTCATTCTGTCATGGAAGTAGGCTTTTTGTAGACCAGACAAGAGACAGTGAAATTAATTCACTGCATGAAATATGGAAATACCTTATCAGAGAAGCACAGTTAATCTTGCTGAAATCTGATTCTCTTGAGACAGCTATATCCGCGTAATTTTTTTTTTAATTAAGGAAGTGCTTAAAATGGTACGAATTCCCATGTTTGGAAATGATTGTAAATTCAGTACAGACTTTAACTTCAACTATTTTACTTTTAACTTCTACTAAAGATGGGTTGAGACTAGACTGTCTGTCTGGTACAGGTCAGGAAGAGGTTTTGTAACTTCCCTTAAGCAGAGAGTTGCTCTTGTGGTTCTTGCATAGCTGATGTAGTAGTATTTTGTGTGGGGCAAATGTATTCTTGATTTGCTATGCAATAGCTCAGTCAGAATGGCAGCAGGAAGAGAGTAGGATAATAAGCAAACACCAACAGAGAATTTTTTCTTTTTTCTTCTAAAGAAGCAAGTTCAAATAAATCTGCCCTTTTCTTAAGTAATGTTTATTCGTATAATGCTTTTCTGAAAATACTTGTGAGTTAAGATTTGTTTCCTCCTTCACATTTGAGTAAATTCTTCAAATATTTTGAAATTGACTCTACTTGATAGTCTACCCTAAAATATTAATCCATAACTGCTTTAGGTCACTTCCAGCTCTTGTGTAGCTGTGAAAGTCTGAAAATGTTTCTAGAGCTTCAGTAAATTAATCTGCTGTTGATAGGCCTGTGGTTGCATTACAGTGCTGTGTATTTCTTCATTATAAGCAGAAGGACGGTGTCTTTTTTTATTTTTTTTTTTTTCTTTTTGTGTTTCCACACCCGGGGTACTTTGAGCTAGCTGATATTTTACCACCCAAATAAGGAGAGCTGTGTTAGGGCTTCACTGAAGAAACTTTACTTAGGGAGTAGAATTCATAGAATGTTGTAGCTTTCCCCATGAAACCAAACCATCTGTAGAACAATTTGAATAATAATACAAAAAGTATTTTAGTTATGCTCCCCAAAATTTAGTATTTGAGAAGCTTTCATTGAATGTTGCAATTTTATGGCGTCTATTTTTCAGACATTTTAGCTAATGTACTGCATCTTCACAACTACGTGTCTTTCTCTTTGAGGCTGTAATATTCTGTGCTGGCTACATAATATACTTCCTTTGGGTAACCCTCCAGTAATTGACTTTAGATGAGAAACATTAATGTGTTACCCCATATATCTTTTTTAATAGGAGCTTAGTGAATTCTGATATGCCAAAATTTCATTTTGACATCAAAAACTGTTGAACTTGTGCAGTTGTATTTTTATCTTGGGTAGCTGTTGTGAACCATATCTTCCTTAATGTTAAAATAAAGTTTAGACTTCATATTTTGGAATACTATGTGTCCATTAAATGCCGGTATTCATTTACAAACCCATTTACCATTTGCTATGTATTTATTGCTAAGTGAATATTTCCTCCATTGACCTTTTCGGATGCTAAAATCAGATTTTACTAAGTCTTATGAAAAGGATGATTCAAGATTATTCCTGAAAAGGAGTTGAAATGGAAGGCTGTTACTTGTTTCCGTGTCTGAAAATTTGTCTGTGTATGTGCAGCCTAGTGTGTATAAACTGAAGTGATCTTACATTGTGCAACCATAACAGTTTAACAGGTATTTTTGTAATGCATGACTTGTAGTTCTCTTTAAATGTAGCATAGCTGTTTGTGGCATGTAGTGCATCTGTGTGTGTCAAGTGGAAAAAAAAAAAAGGAATGTGTATGTGGTTTATAAACAAAGTCACTTATATGAAACCTTTAAAATTCAGCTAACACTTAAAAATCCATTTTAACATAAAACTCACTGCGAGTAACTCTTATTTCCTTTCCTGTTAGAACTGTTGTGAAATGCAGCATTGCCAAATCCCAGGCCCTGTATAGTGCCCAGAGAGGGTTGAAAACGAACAACGCTGCTGTGGTCAAAGTTGGAGCCATCAGCATCAACATTCCCCAGCACCCTGCCACGCTGCACAGCATGATGGTGCGCAGTTCTCACCAGCTCTCCAAGCAGATTTCGGATCTCATCAGGCAGCCGTCGACTGCGTGAGTACCGCTTGCGGGGCGCTTCCAGGTGCGCCCCTGCTTGCCACCCAATTATGGGCTTGTGTGGCTTTGGATGTATGTGGCAGAGTCAGGCTGGTCGTAGGTCGTGTTAGAATAACAAGTGTTTTCTGGTCTTTGTCCCTGCAAATAGGCCCCAGCCTACCAAAGAAGATGTTGCGACTCCTTTGCCCTCTGAAAAGACTCCAACGAGTATTAATCAAACTCCTGTTGAAACAAATGAATTTCCACAGCTGCCAGAAGGCTTAGAAAAGAAGCCTATAGTTCTTAAATTCAGTGCCATGATAGATGGTATAGCTATTGGAGCAGCGCTCTTGCCCTCTCTGAAGGCGGAATATAAGATGGGAAGAATGAGGAGTCATGGAATGACAGGTAACAGATCTCTGAAACTTGAAAAACGTTATGGCTTCTAGTTTGGCCTTGCTAGAAGCATCCAAGAGGACTTGATATGTCTGTTGAATTATAGCTAGAGCTTTGACTCTGTTGCTATCGGCTTATTTTTTTTGAATATGGACTTGAATCACGTGGGGCCATATTGAGAATTTACACTGGTGGTGTTACGTACAATTGGCAGAGGCAGAATACAAAACAGATTAAGACATGTATACATTCATACGTAGCTTCGTCCCAGGAAGCTTCCCTCTGACTGCTGAAATCAGTTTATGAGCCTTGATTAATTAAATTCTGATTTGTAAGGCTACATGAGAATACTCCTGTAGGGCCCCAGTGCAGATGAGATGGTCTGTATGACTCCCTTCTCCATCTAATTACAGCGAAGTCTTTATTTTCTTTAAAAATTAAAAAAATCTAGTCATGTGGGTGGACGTTTTTAGCTCCAGAGGTCTGTGTGCTTCAGTAATGCTTTTTTATTATTTCAAAATTGTTCTTAAATTTAAAGATAAATAAAAGAGTCTTTTGCCAGGTCATACCTTTTCTTTCCCTGTCTTCCTTTTACAGGTGCCCAAACTAGATTTAATTTTGAGCTTCCGAGTCACAGATTGCGCTTCACTTCAAAAGTCTCTGCCACCGATATGTCAACCATTCCTCCTTCAGCAAGTCTCAACCTTCCCCCTGTCACGATGTCAGGCAAATATATCATGGAAGAACATGATACTTACTCAGACCAAAGTTGGAGCATAGATGAACTACCTGCTAAGCAAGGCTATTATCTACAGGGGAACTACTTACGCTGTGTGGCTGAAGTAGGTGTCGAAGATGGTAGTCATCTTTGATAACTTGTTATTTCCATTCTGTTACGTTGCTGTAGGTGCATCTTCAGATTATTTTAATAATCTGCCTACTCCCCAACTCTCAGGTTTACAGGCTGATCCAAATATAGCATTTGTAATTGTGTGACACTGAAATAGAGCTTTCTCAGTCCTTAGTTTGATGAGTAGACAACATATTAAGCAGTCAAGACCACTATATCAGAGGATTTTGAATATGTTGTTTTATGCAAATAAATAAGGAAAGTATGTTTAGAAACTTTTTTGGGATGACAATATTTCTCATCAGTGAAGCAGACAAAAGTATATTATGCTGATGATTCAAATAAAGCGTCATTTTAAACTGAAAGCTTATCCTAACACATCAGATAATGTATGTTTTGCAAAAAGAGATACTGAAAAATTTAAAAACAATTTTGTTGTAACTCTTATGTTTTCATCATTAGACAGCTCCATAGATAGCAGAAGCTATATATAACCTTAGTAAATGATATAAAATTTTTTCTTCAACACAGTGTGTTCTACTCAAGCTCTATTTGTGTACCAGGTTTCACAGAGAGAAAAGTGATGCTGCTTAAAAGAAACCTATCTGGTGGGGAAAAGCAGGGCTTTTCTACTAACTGTATTTCTTTAGTCAGAAAAATAGTCTGGTATGTTTGTAATTGAGACTTCTGATGTTTGTGTCTTTATGGGAGAAGTTTAATTAGCTGCTGCTCTTTGTTCAACCCATTTGAGTTATTTTCTGGCTGAAGAAAGACCTGAGGGTCTTTGAATTTGTTCAGCATATAAAACAAAAAGGGAGGGGCTGCTTAGCAAAGGCAAAAGCCAAGTCCAAGTAGATTTAGAAAACATTTATTTAAAAAATCTTAATGGTAAATTTAAACCATCTTAGGCAGACTCCAGTTCCTTAGGAATATTCTTTAAGATTAGATTGGACACATGATAAGTTTACTATTGAAGATATCAGTGAACTTGTTCATCTACAGTGACTAGAATAGTGTTCTTTTAGAGGTTGAAAGCTCATTTCTATTTTGTTCTGATAATGATTTACTATCTGGAATTAAGTAGCATTTTGCATACTTCCATGAACCTTAATCAAGTCCTGCATTTTAGCGACTAAGCTAAACTTAAGCAGGAAAATGAACTTTTTCATCTAATAGTGTGTGTCCTTCAGTTTTCTGATAGGCACTCACAGCAGAAAAATTGCAAGACGAAACTATTTAATGTTCTTTTTTTAAGCTAATAGCAATATAATTGAACTTGAAAAAGAGGTGCCTGAAAACTAAAAATGCATTGTTATGAAAATATGCGTGTGGTAACAGTTTTAAAGTTTTGTTCTAAAACCTTATGTTTCTGCAGGTTGGTTCCTTCGAACATAACCTCACAACTGATCTTTTAAATCATTTAGTGTTTGTGCAAAAAGTGTTCATGAAGGAAGTAAATGAAGTCATACAGAAGGTTTCAGGTAAGCAGAACACTTAGAACCAACTTTAAGAGAGATCCTTAAACCTTGTTTGATGGCAGCACTATATAGTTCTTGGGATCGGCTGTTTATTTCACAGACCCTGTCATTTTGCATCTAGCACTGCAAGCAGCAGCAGGAAGCAAGCAGCAGAGCTGGAGTCTGAAGTAATAACAGAGGCTCTGGAAATTTTTGTAGCTCTATCAGAAACAAGATGTTTTATTGGGAAGCAGGGTAGTTTGCCATTCTGGACCCTAGCCTCTGTGTCTCTCTCTGACGTGACCTTGGCTGGGTTACTTTCTGCGTTCGTTTTGTTCACGTGTCAAATGCAGATCATGATATTGCATTTTGTAAAATAATGTCAGTGTATTCTTTTAAAGGAAAACAAGTGTATCTGGGGAAAATAGTATGAGTATTGCTGTTACTTAGTGTCTCCTGATTCCTAGCTCTTCAATTCTTTTCAGGTAACGTGTCTCAGAACTGTACGAAAAAGGCATTTGGCAGTTCATTAGATTTTGTGCATCATGCTCTATACTGTAGAAATGATTGGTTTGTTTCTGTCATTTAGGCTGGCTTCTGTTCTCAAAAAAAAAAGTCAGAAGAAACATTTGTTTTCTTACATTAAAAAACCCTCTGTGTATCTGACTGAATCACAGTTTGCTCAGCATTTAAAAATTGATCCACTCACTTTCTAGTTCTCGCTGTTAGAGACTTGGTCTGTGTTCCAGAACTGAAAGTAAACCAAAAAGCTGGTAACTTGCGGCACGCAATCATATTTACTCAGCCAACAAATTCTATCACACTTTGCACTGGAAAAAATAGTACAAAATTATTTTATCTTTTATGGTATATGACTACTTTGAGGGGAAATGCTTACGTTTCCGGACTGGAAGCTTTGTTTGACGCATTAGTTATTGTTTGGTAGCTTAAAAAAAATACAGGAATGTAATTTACTGTGGATGTTACGTGGTGGATGACAAGATGAACAGAAAGGCAAATAAGTAAAGAACTGTAAAGATTTTTGTTCTTTAGGTCAAAATAAGAAATGGCAAGTGGGGATAAAGAGTAAATGAATTGGAAAAAGGAAAAGCAAAAATTATTAAGTTGTCTGTCTATTAAGAAATAATAATTAAAAAACCCAAAGATAAAGTAAAGTAACCAGGGGAAATAAAACTGAATTTTATTAGTTATGTTTTTAGAGGAAGAAAGATGTATGTTTGAGAGAATGTTACAGGGTGACAAATGTGAGTAAATATTCAAAAGCAGGCAAAATTTCAAGTACCTTGATTTTTATCACTTTTTGAGTTATACTAAAAGGCTATTATAGAAATATGGCTAATTTTTAGTGGAAAGATTCATTAACAGTTGGAAACATCATGAGGAAAGATAAACTAAAAAGAGGTAACTAAGTGAAACGAGTGTCAGTGTGTGTGCGTCTATGCAATCCTTTCATATGCTTGTGTGTGTGTGTGTATGTATTCATGCATACAAACGTACATAAAAGAAATGTGCAGGTCCAGATGACATGCCCTCAAGGGAGTTAGAAGATGCAGTGGAGAAAATGGAAAATTTCAGAATCCCTGAAGGATTAGAAGAAAGAGATTTTAAACACCCTCATGTTTGGTCCAGGCAAAATATATTAGCATTGGGTAGTAAGAGAACACTTAGGGGAAGAATAAACCTTCAGCAGCTGCCATTATTCTATAGAACAATTTTTATAGAGGAGCATAAGGTGGTAAAACGGGAGACCTATATTAGATTTCTTTTGCACCATTTCTCAGTCTCTAGTGTTCAATCTCTCCTCTGTTTTTATGTGAGGAATTTATTGCCATTGCTGGTTCTTTGCTTTTCCAGACTATAAATTTGTATTGCCTGATGGTTTTTGAAATGTGGCTGCTACCTGCCATATTGTGGTCATTTAGCAGGAACATCGTCAGGTGCCAGCAGTCCCTGGGGTCTGGGTGCTGAATGCAGAACAATGGGGGCAGAAAATAACTCTTGTCCTCCTGGCTTGCAGCAAAGTAATTTACATGGCTTGAAAATTCCAATTAGTGTAATATACTGAAGTGTTTTTTTCTAATTATGGTTTCTCTTGCACTAAAACATTGATTGCATATTATCCTTACATAAAAGCTGGGTAAGTACCAATTACTTAAGGTGAAGTTGCGCAGACGAAAAGCTATTTACTGAACA